AGAGAGAGAACAGATGCGTGGTGATACAGATATTAATTTAAGAAGATTTGAGTGAGAGAGAGAGAACAGATGCGTGGTGATACAGATATTAATTTAAGAAGATTTGAGTGTGAGAGAGAGAACAGATGCGTGGTGATACAGATATTAATTTAAAAAGATTTAAGTGTGAGAGAGAGAACAGATGCGTGGTGATACAAATATTAATTTAAAAAGATTTAAGTGAGAGAGAGAGAGAGAGAGAACAAATGCGTGGTGATACACATATTAATTTAAGAAGATTTGAGTGAGAGCGAGAGAACAGATGCGATTTCTTTCAATGGGAGATTACATTACGTTTGTAATAACTTTCCTTGTGATAATCTCATCTCCAAGGAAATTTAACTATTTATTACATTGACTGTAGGACCTGTTTTAAATTCTGGATGGATTTCAAGTTGGTTGTGTGTTAAGGCTTGAGAAGCCACGTGAATTTTAACTATGAAAAGTGTAGCAAATCTCAATCTTTACACACGAGATACATTAATTTAAATGATCGAATCTGTGTGTTTGTAAACTCGGCTGTAATTTGGTGTAGTATTGCAGTAAAATTAATTAATGTTTATTGGATGGAAAATAATGATTGGGGGGGGGCGCATCTAATTTATTTTTCACATCAAGGATCAAATTAGAATTTCTAGTAATGTTAATAAGTCGCGTAACGGATTAATCCCCAAAAGCTTGGCTTGACAGATGTTTTAACTGTAGGGAAGAAGACTGAGTACATGACGTGGACCGTACAAAGTTAACGTGTTCTTTGTACGCCTTTAAATAAAACACCGCTTGTGATCTGTTTATCCTTTTTTTTTTCAATACTCTATGTATGTTTTGGTGTAACTTATGTACGTGTCTGTTGGAAATGTTTACTAATTATTTTGTAAATATTCAGTGAATTATGCAATTAAGTAAATTCAGCTTGCGTCCTACTCCCAGTAGATTTCTCTGTTATGTCCCCCAGTGGCACAGCGGTATGTCTTCGGACTTACAACGCTAGAAACCGGATTTCGATACCGTGATGGGCAGAGCATAAATAGCCCATTGTGTAGCTTTGTACTTAATTCCAAACAAACAAATTCTCTGTTATATATTATTATTATCATTTTAACTGTTTCTTAGTAACACATACTTTTGTTCATCGTGCTTTTATCTTACTAAAAGTGTTCATATGCCGCCTGAAGCTGTGAAACATGAATTACTTTGTCAAGTAAAATTATTTCGGGAGAAAGAGAGAGCGAGGGTGAATGGATATTTAGTCAGAATTTCAGGTACAATTCAACATTTTCCACCTTCTGTACCCATATTCTCCCTATGTCTGATATCACTATTAAAATATAGGTCAATGACTTCCACCTTCTGTACCCATATTCTCCCTATGTCTGATATCACTATTAAAATATAGGTCAATGACTTCCACCTTCTGTACCCATATTCTCCCT